ATCCTCCGGGTCTGGAAGCAGGTCCATATGCACAGGTTATGTAACACTGAACACCGACCATATGCCAGGCATTCCGCTACATCCCTTTGACAGGTCACCTCACTGGACCCACGACTAGTCCTTATTCTCAGTTTAATACGGAGACTGGGACTTGATGATGTTACATGGCACACAGACGACAGAACTGGGACCAGACCACTAGGTCTATGAGACGCGGAGACGGCTCTCCTACCAGTTCAAAGGTTAATCATTCATTCAGACACCTGCAAAAACCAAAACAAAACGAACTCTTTCATTTCAAATCGCCCTTGCTCGTCAAGCTGTGTGCACGCTCCCAGCAAGAAATGGAAAAGCCCTTGAACGCCACAGCCCCGGATCTCAAAGCCCAGAGAACTGAGCAAAAAATAAAAAAAGGAGGGAGCCTGCTGCTTCTGTGATAAACTTGGAGGAACTTTCCCCCTCCTGGCCAAGTTTCTTCCACCAAGCTACAGATAATTAAAAGAGAAGATAAGGAAAGGACAGCAACAACAAAACGCTCAATTTGGCTGCGAGCAATCAAAGTTGCAGCGCACCTGCTGAGTTCTCAGCCCGGAAGGAATGTAGAAAGCAAGAAGCGAAACAGGCCCGGTTTGCACCCAAACGCTCGCAGGCAAGGGTGTCAAGATTTCCGGAGGGCCTAAAGTGGTGCAAGGAATTGCTGTGGGGGATACTCCACCCTTGACCCTGGCCCTGGTGTCCCCAAGCCGGGAGCAAAGAGCTGCATTTAGTCCTGTGACTTTTCTCTCTCCTTTCCAGGAAAGGTGGCTGCAGCGTCCATGGCACTGGGACAGGGCGGCTGGGTACCGTCTGCACCACTGAACCCCACATTCTCCACTTGGAAACCCCTTGTATGAAGAGGTGACTTGCATGGGAGGCGTGAACGTCCCAGAGGCACCTTTGGGAGTATGTTGTCTAGCAAGTAGTTTACAAAGGGTCCCCGTCCCCGGCGCCGCGAAAATCGCCCCGGCCCACTCACTTCTGCAGGGTCCCTCACAGGCCGCTCTCTGCTCCGCTGGCTCCTGGGTCGCTCCGGCAGCCTCCGCCCGGCCTCCCAAGAGCCGGAAGCGGTGTGCCGTGCGAGATCAAGCTGCGCGTGCGTAGGCCGGCCCCAGGGGGCGGGGCCCGGAAGGGGGCTGGGACTCGTCCTGAGGTTTCGCCTCCAGGCACCTGGGACTTTGGGACTTTGCCCTTAGCTGGGTCTATCCTTTCAACAACCTCAGCATGCATGTTTACAGGTACACACACCTGTACACACATGTGCAGGCACATATAAACAGCACACGCACAAACATAAAAAAAACGGAAAAAGAGAACAGAAAGCAAAAACAGCTACAACAAAAATCCCCAAAGCTAGTAGACAGGGTGTGAAAAGCACAACAGATTTCTCAGAGTATCACCGCTAGCTTTTGAGCCTCAGTCTTGTTCCTTGCTTAGGAGTACCTTTTTCTTCTTTAATAAACTGTATCTCTCTCTCTCTCTCTCTCTCTCTCTCTCTCTCTCACACACACACACACACACACACACACACACACACACACACTCCAGACACTCCCACCCAGGAAGCTTAAGCTGCCTGCGAACAAGGTGCTGAACACTGAGAAGCATATCAAAAACCCTACTGGGGTGGGAGGACAGCGAAACAGCTTGGTGGTTAAGGGTGCTTGCCAGCAGCCTGATGACCTGAGTTGACACCCGGGACCCACATCTTGGAAGGTGCCCCTGTACACACATATGCTATTATATACAAGTGCCTTCCAGCCCCACATAGGAGAGGGTGTCAAGGCTGGAGTTAGAAGGGGTAGTCGGACTGGTAATAAGTAATCTTGGCTAGGCTGAGGATGGAGATCAGTCCAGTAGAGTACTTGCCTAGCGTATAGGAAGCCATCTGCTGCACCGCACACAGCGAGCATAGTGACATATGTTTGTCATCCTAGCAGGAGGTGGGGCCAGAAGATCAGACATTCAAGGCTACATAGAGAATTTCGGATCAGACTTGGCTACAGGACATCCTGTCTCAAATACACAAAGTTAAAAAATAATAATAAGAGTAAGTAAAAAGTAAAGTAGAAAAATTACACAATGGGGTGAAACAACGGCATTAGTTCTGAGTTAGGCAAGAACTGTTTTTAATATGTGTTTTTATTTCTTGGGTGTGTTTTCTTCAATGTGTGCATGTGCACCATGTGTATCCCTGATGCCTGAGGAGGACAGAAGAAGGTGTTTGATCCCTTGGAACTAGAGTTATGAGTGGTTATGAACCACTATGCGGGTGCTGGGAACCAAGCATGGGTGCCTACTCCCAGGCAACCAAACAAATGTGGAATTTTCTTTCCGCCTCTTTTTCCTCATCTATGAAAGAGACGTAGAGGTAGATGAGGATGCTCTTCAAAGAGTTAAGTGTTTGGGACAATGGAAGTGCTCAGCACAGCAGGGCTGTCCCTAAATTTGGGCCATCTTTACCTACACGGCAAGTTTGAAACCTGAGGGTAGCCAGGGTTACATGAGGTCCTTTAAGAAAGAAAGGAAGAAAGAAAGAAAGAAAGAAAGAAAGAAAGAAAGAAAGAAAGAGAGAGAGAGAGATATGGGGGAGACCATGGGATGGGAGAGAAGAGGAAGAGAGGAGAGGAAAAGAAAGAAAAAGAAACCACAACATCACACCTACTCCAAAATAGGAAAACAGCAAGTTCAAGGTCTTTTTGGGTGAGTTCAAGGGCAGCCTGGATAACTAAATGAGATTCTGTTTTAAAAACCAGGCTGGAGGTGTGTCTCAGTGGTAGGGTACTTGCCTAGAATCCCCCAGTGAGGAGCTGGGGGTGTAGTTCACTGGTAGAATACTGGTTAATGTGTCCTGGGTTCAGTCATCATTACAGTAGATATTAGTAGCCACAGGCAGACTCCCATAGTCCTTTAATTAGCGAAAGGACACTTTGAAAGCTGGGGAAGGGCAGGATAATGAATAAAAGCTTACCACTCAGGTGCCTGGGAGGCACCAGGCCTGTTCTTACTTCCAAGTCTGTGTACACACTAGGGATTCCTAGTAGTCTCAAATAACTCGTTCTCAACTGGGGCTTCTCTGCCCAGCACCAACTCAAGACATTTGACAATGTTTGGAGACACTTTGTCCTAACATTAGGTTAGGCAGGTGCTATTAGTGCCTAGTGGGTCAGGAATCATTGTTCGAAGAAAATTACTTGGTCCCAAAGGTCAATAGTGCTGATGTCCTGCGCTTGAACCTTGGACTTGCCTGAGTCTTGATTGTAAATACTCTGTAGTTTGAATTCCTGCTACAAACTGCATACACTCATTCATGAGTACACACACACACACACACACACACACACACACACAATAGAATCTTATGTGTTCAGGTTGGCCTTGAATTCACTATCTAGCCAACTTCAGTGTTGAACTTCTGATCCTCATGCCTTCACCTCCTGAGTTTAGGGATCACAGGCCTGCACCTGTCATGCTGAAGGTGGAGTCCAGGGCTTTGTACATGCACAGCCCAGCCCAGCCCAGCCCAGCCCAGCAGTTTTGTACAGCCCCCTGGAGGGAGGAAACTCCATGTTATGAGTTGAATTCTCTCTCTCTCTCTCTCTCTTTTGGTTTTTCAAGACAGGTTTTTTTTTTTCTCTATGGCTTTGAAGCCTGTCCTGGAACTAGATCTTCTAGACCAGGCTGGCCTTGAACTCACAGAGATCTGCCCGCCTCTGCCTCCCAAGTGCTAGGATTAAAAGGTGTGCGCCACCACTGCCCGGCATGAATTGATTCCTTTCAATTCGTATTTTACAGCCCCATCCCTCCCTTTATTGCAGAATAAGACCACGGCTCAGTAAGTAGGCTTGACACCAAGCTCGATGACCTGCATTCTAAACCCAGAACCCAAATGGCGAGAGAAGAGAGCTAACTTCTGTACCTACACACATATTCACACAGAAAATAAAAATAAATAAAGTGCGACTAAACTAAAGATCAAGCCCTTGCACATGTAGTCGTAACTCACAAGGAGCTTCATAATGGACTAGGCTGAGTTCCTACTCCAATGTGATGATGGGTCTTTAAAGGAAGGGAGGTTGGGAGGCTGCCGTGATGACACAATCAGTAAAAGTACTTTCCTTATAAGCACAAGGATCCAAGTTCGATCCTCCAGAACCCATGTAAAATAACATAAATAAATAAACAAATAAGCAAGCCAGCCAAGCATGAGGGACACAATGCTTATAACTCTAGTAGGCAGAGATAGGAAGATCCCTGGGGCTTGCGGGCAGCAGCTGAATCAGCAAGCTCCAGGTTCTGTGAAGACCTTGTCTCAAAAAATGAAGTGGAGAGTAATAGGGGGAAATACCCAGAATGATTTTCTGGCCTCCGCACGCACGTGCACCGTGTGCATATATGTCCATGAATGTACTTGTACACACATCCCACATAAAACAAGATGGATGGCACACGAGGAAGGACTGCCAAGGTTGTCCCTTGGTGTACACACATGAACAGACACACGTACAACAGAAAGAGAAAAGAGAGTTTGGGAACCCAAAGTCCACACAAGAAGAACCTTGCAGGACGACACTGCCACAGGCTGTAGAGCCGCCAAAAGCTGGGAGAGACCTGACACCCTCCAGAAACCTTGACCTTGGCCATCCAGGTCCCAGAACTATGACAAAATACATCTCCGAGAATTCAGCAGGTAAGCACCAGACATTTGGTCACCACATCAGATAAATGCCCCGCCTGAGTCTAGGTCCTGCTGGATTTTCCCAAGGCCAAAGCTGAATCAGGGAGCTTAGTCACCATCGTCAGTGACTGATTGGTCCACTGCTTCTCTCCAGGTTGCTGCTGACACTTGCTCACACAAGTGAGAATGAAATAGAACCAGGAATGAATGTACCAAAGAACGGAGGGACAAAAGGAAGGAAAAAGACAGACGCCCCCATTGGGCGGATGGATGGGCCTGGACTCACCTGAGCTCAGCAAAGGTTTGCCACACAGAGGGCAGTTCGAGTGGCCCACGAAGGTTCCTCGCACCAGCTGGTGCCCATTGACACACTCCCGCCTCCCTGGAGCATCCTGAATCTTATCCTTTAGGTGTGCAGGGCTCTTCCCCTACATGAGACAATGATGGGTCTCAGTATGTCTTCTGCATGGCCTGATATAAGCCCCTCAAAGCAAATGAGTGGCTGAGCCCCTCTCCTGAGGACCTCCAACCAACAGCTTTCACCCACAGAACACTCCAACTGCTCTACCCTACAGAGTGAAAAAGCCCAAGCTCTGGACTTGAACTCCCACCAATCTGCACCCTGAAAATCTTCTCCCTCCCTCAAGAAATCCTATATGAGCCTTGTCTTCTGCTCAGTTTTTTGCTGTTTCTCACCTGAGCAGAGGTAGCCACCCTCCTGGGTTTTCCCCTACCCAAACATCTTGTGCGGGGGTTTGTTGTTGGGGTGTGATATTGTGGTATTCCTTGGCTCCTTTCCCCTCAGAGCTGTAAACACTTAACATCTGGTCCTTTTATGCCCTCCACTTCCCTCCATCCAGTCCTGGCTTTCATCCCAGGGTTCCTGAGTCAAGGGTACTTTTTGGTGCTAGGGAGGGGTGAGTGAGTCAGTCCCCTCACCTTCTCTTTCTGCCTGGTGACCCTGCTTCGGAGGGAGCTCAGGCTGCGCTTCACTCTGGTGCTCTTGTCTGTCTTCTCATTCTTGTTTGCACCATCCTCACTCCTAGAGGGTGGGAAGAAGGTGAGGAAGGGCTCCAGGGCTTTCTGAGGAAACTCTGGGAGGTGCTCCTGGAATCTGTCTCCCCCTGATGTGACCTGTCTGTGGTTCCCAATTCCCCACCGTCCCTTTCATTTTTTCCCTTTTTCTCTCCCCCCCTCCCTTCCCCTCCCCTTACTCTGCACCCAGGCAGTCTTTGAACCTGTGATTATCCTATCTCAACCTTTGCTCTCTAGGTGAAGTCTGCTCTTAGCGGAATTGGCGTAAAGACCCCACTATAGCCACTGATGGAAGCTTGTGCTTACTCAGACAAGAACTCAAACCAGGTGAGGTTGGAGTGGGTTCCTCCAGGGCTGGTAGACATGTGAGCTCGCTGACGGGCCCTGTAGGGGCAGAGTGGGACAGTCATTTAGTCCCCAGGCAACTTAATCCTTATCATTCATTTCTGCATCCCCCCCAGGCGCATCTCAGGGGCCCTGCAAACAGGGACATGACAGCAGGCTGTCCAGCAGAGGGCAGTGGTATTGTGTCTGGGACAAACCACATGAGCATGACAGGAATGTTTTCTAACACATTATAGGGAACAGACACCTTTTCTCATTTGTTTCGTTCTCTATTACGTTTCCTTCCTTCATCTCTCTATCCTCCTCTTCAGCACCCTCCCTTTCCTCCTCTCTTTCTTTCTTCTCCCCTTGCCCCCTCCCTCCTCATTCTTAACCTCCTCCTCCTTCCTTCCCCCTCTTCTTTGGCAGAGTCTCACTACATAGCCTAAGTTAACCTTAAACTCAAGTCTTTCTGCTTCATCTGCCTTCCAAGTGCTGGGATGAGCGGTCTGGATCACCACACCCACCAGCTCCTTTCTTCTTTCTACCAGATCCCTGTAACTCTCTACTCTTACCCATGGCCACGCTTGTCTCCCCACATCTTCTCCCCCACGTATACTCCCCCGTTTCTCCCTAACTGTCTCATGTTTGTCTTCTCCCGCACCCAGCCATCACACCTGCTCCTTTGCACTCACCCATGGTAGTGTCGCAGTTCCTGAAGCACTTGTTGCACTATCAGCCTAGGGAAGGGGTGGGTTACAAACGTAGGCACTCTGACCAGACCCCGGGCCCCCATGCACACTCTAACTGGGTGCCCTGAAGGCCATGATGTCGTCCTCCCAGCAAAGGTTGTTCAAGAGAGAAGTCCCACTACATGAGACTAAGCCAGATTAGGCTAGTATGGTCACTTATGATAAAAGAATTCTTTTTGAAACACGGTCTCATGTGTTTCAGGCTGACCTCCAACTTACAATTAGCAGAGGCTACCTTGAACTCTTTCAGTTCTCCTGCCCCCACCCACTGAGTGCTGGGATGGCAGGTAGACACTACCACATGCCTGGTTTGTGTAGTACTAGGGATGGGATCCAGTGCATGCTAGGTGAGCACTCTACCAAATGAGCCGCAGTCCCAGCCATGGTTGCTTACAAGCAGCAGCTACATCCTCTGGACCCAGCCTCTACCCGCCTCCCCCCAGCCAGTCCACTGGGGTACTCCTGTCTGTCGCAGGACAGACACTCACACGTGGTCTGGCTCCACATGGTCCTTTTCCAGACACTCCAGCACAGGTGGTTCAAGGCCTAGAATCAGCCCCCAGTACAGGGGTTGTAGGAATGAGCAAGGGTTCTGCTCTATACCCACCCACCTCCAGGCCCGGAAGCGTTAGAGGCTGTACATAAAACACGAGCAATGTCTCAGGGAGGAGAGGCGGAAAGAAGCCATGGACCACGGACTGCACCATCATCTTAATGTGTCTATGCAAAGTTAACAGACTCTCCCAGGCATGCTCAGGAGCTACACTCCCTGTTCCTTCTTTCAGAGGAAAGCCAGGGAGGCTCAGAGCCACCCAGAATAGCAGGTTGGAACTGTAGGGCAGTTTGAGTGACAACAGAGAGGTGTAGTCTTTGGCTAGAGATTCAGAGACCAAGAGGGAAATAAGAGAGAGCCGAGCAGAGCGGGAGAGAGAGGTAAAGAGGGGATGGAGAGAGAGAGAGAGAGAGAGAGAGAGAGAGAGAGAGAGAGAGAAACAGTGCAAGAGAGAGATGAAAGAAGAGAGTGGGGGAGGGAGGACAGGGGATGGAAGAGGTGGGATAGAAGATGGCTCAGTAGGTAGAGGTGCGGGCTCCCCTGGACCCACACAGTGGGAGGAAAGAACCAACTTCTGTCCTCTGACCTCCACATGTGTGCTATGGCATGTGCACATCCTTCTCAACACATCACCCACACATTATCAATACTCACAAAAATCAAAAAGGAGTAAAGGAGAGGGAGGAGGGAGGGAAAGAGAGAGAGAGAGAGAGAGAGAGAGAGAGAGAAACAGAGAAGAGAGGAGGAAGGAGAAAAAGCTAGAGGCACCCCCAGAGAAAGGCAGATGACAGACATTGGAGGCAATGCGCTCTTTCTGGACCCATAGGACTGCCAAGTTCCTACCCTAGTAACCCCGTGCTCCCTCTATCTTCCTGCCCTTCCTGAGGCCCGCCTGGGGCTCAACCCATGGAGCACTTTCCTGTCTCAGCCACTTGATGTGCCCCAAAGACATTCCCAGGCCTGGCTACCTTGCACAGGTGCAGTGGACGCCTCTGAGCCAGATGTCAGTTCCAGACAGCTGATCTCCTCATGGGACACAGGCACTGACTTGGATCTTAGCCTTTTCTCAGGGCTGATACATTCCTATCAGGGGAACAGGATTAATTGCCCTGCCCCAGGTCAAGGGCACCCCAAGTACCACACCTCCTCCCCCAGCTCCAGTTTCCAGTCACACTAGGTCCTCCCTCTACTCAATCAGGCAGTAAGCCTTTTCCAGAACCCCTAGTTATATTTGAGTTATATATGATTTCATATTCAAATCCATATGAATGGGAAATACCCCTAGCCATGAGTCATGTTTAGGGACAAAGATGTCCCAGATGTAGGTGATGCATTCCCTAGGTGTCAGCTGCCGTCTCGGTTCTGAGACTCATTCTCCCTGGGTGCAGACCCCAATTATGGTTTCCTCTCATTGCAGGCTGCACCCTCGATATGGATTCTTTATGCCTGGCTGGGGCTTCAGGATAAGCGGACAGACTCTCTTTCTCCTAGCCTGCTGCTAACATTTATGGCTAAGATCCTTCCCTCCGTCTCTGTCCCTCTGTGTGCTCGTGCTTGCGTGTAGAAGCCAGAGGACAACTGTGGGAATCATTCCTCAAAGCACAATCTACCAGTTTTGTTTTAGCAAATATTCCTCACTGATCTTGTAAAATAGGCTACGCTGGTCAGCTGGTGAGTCCCAGGGATCCTCTGTGTCTCCACCTCCACGGGGCTGGGATTACAAGCATGCCCCCCCCACACCTGGCTTTTTATACTGGGCTCTGGGGATCCCACTCAGAGCCTTATGCTTGTAAAGCAGACACTTCTCGGATGGTGCTATCTTTCCAGTCCTATGATTCTCCTTTGATGGGAACATGTCCATGGTAGAGAAGATTCTTTGACCCTAGGGTAGTGTCAGATGTGACTATGGTTTGTTCAGTCTGAAACTCAGGTTAGAGTTGAATCCCCATTGTGGGGTATTAAAAGGGTGGGAATTCCAAATTTAGATACGGGCCCTTGGTGTGGCAGGGGGGGAGACTAGGGTTGCATTAATGTTGTTCAGGCTGGAGCAACCCTGAGTGCCATCTTTTTTTGGTGACAGGGTCTCACTGTGCAGCCTTGGCTACCTAAAGCTCACTGTGTAGACCAGGCTGGTCTCAAATTCAAAGATCTGCCTACCTCTGCTTCCCAAGTGCTGGGATTAAAGGTGTGCACCTCCATGCCCACACCGCCTTTAAAAACTGTGTATGTAAACTGGACGGTGGTGGTGCATGTCTTTGATCCCAGCCCTCAGGAGGCAGATGCAGGTGGCCCTCTGAGTCTGAGGCCAGCCTGGTCTACAGAGAGAGTTCCAGGATGGCCAGGGCCACACAGAGAAACCATATCTTGAAAAAAAAAAAAACCAAGAAGAAGTGTACATGCGTGTGCAGTACATGCATGTGTTTGTGTGACTATATGCACATGTGCATGGAGGTCAGAGGTCAACACTGAGTGTTTTCCTCACTCTCCACCTGATATTTAATTTTTTAATTGATCTATTTGTGTTTTTGTGTCTGTAGAGGTTGTATTTGTATTCGCATGCGTGTAGAGGTGTGTAGAGGTGGAGGTTAAAGAACACCTGGAGACTGAGTTTAAGTCATCAGGTTTGGTGGCAAGTGCCTTTACTCACTGATCCTTCTCACCAATCCTCCACTCTGTCTGTCTGTCTGTCTGTCTGTCTGTCTATCTACTTTGAGGCAGCATCTCTCATGGTGTGTCACTGAGCCTGGAGCTCATCAGCTGGGCTAGGCCATCTGGCTGGTGAGCTTCAGGGATCACTCGTCACCCCGCCTTGTTAGAATTACAAGCCTGCACACCATGCCCCAAGCCTTTACATGGGAGCCAGGGAACCAAACTCAAGTCTTTGTGTTTAAGCAGCAGGGTCTTTACTGACTGAGTCATCTCTCCAGCCCCAGGGAGATTTATCAGAAGGAACAGGGGGCTGTGGAGATGGCTCAGTCCATAAAGCGCCATGAGGATACAAGTGAGAACTCTGGGCACATGGCTTATGTTTGTAATCTCGGTGCTAGGGAGGTAAAGACAGGTAGACTCATGGGGCTTGTTGGCCAGTTAGCCTACCCTACATAGCAAGGTCTTTCATTCCACCCACCCACTCAGAGATCCCAGTGATTCTCCCTCCCTCCCTCCTTCCTTCCCTCCCTCCCACCCTTCTTCCCTCTCCTTCTCTCCCCCCTCTTCCTTCCTCTCTACATAGTCCTAGCTATCCAGGAACTCACTATGTAGACCAGGCTGTCCATGAACTCACAGAGATCTGTCTACCTTTGCCCCAAGTGCTGGGATTAAGGGCACACTCCTTCATGCTCATGCCCAGCTTTCTTAGCAGAAGCCCATGAGAAAGCCTGTCTCAGAAGAAGACAGACAGCACTGAGGAATGATATCTGAGGTTATCCTCTGATTTCCACACCCTCTTCGCATCCTACATTCTCGAACATGAACATGTGTGTGTGTGTGCTCGTGTGCTCTCACACACACATGTATGCACACACACATGCAGGCACATACCCATGCACACACAAGACCCTGAAGTAATATACATGGACACTTCCCATCCGTTGCCTTGTGATATACTGAACCTCTAAGGACCACTGGATAAGAAAGTCATCACCAAACACAACCCTTGACCTTAAACTTCTGGACTCACAAGCTAAAACAAACTTCTTTTCTCTATAATACACCTAGCCTGAGGAATTGTGTTTTACACACACACACACACACACACACACACACACATACACACATACACACACACACACTATTGCAAATAATATCTCTCAGGGCCCAGAAATGTCTTAGCCGTGGACTGAAGTAGGGAGCTCCCTCTTTCCTTAAGAGTGACCCTTGATAGCTATGGGGAAGATGCTCCCTCCCACTCAGGCACTGGCATGGCAGCCCAGAGGGGTGCCTCCTGCTGGGTTTGGTGTAGGTTCTGCCTACCTTGCTTGAGGGTTCTGCTGGAGTCTCACTGTCAGGTGAGCATACTTGGGTCCAAGTATTCTGCCCCTCTCCAGACAGATTCAGAGTAAGGCTCGCCAGAGTCCGGGGGAGACAGGCTCCTTCATCCACCATGGAGGCATCAAGGCTGAGCCTGAGGGAAGAGCAGACATTGAAGTTTTAGTGGGTGGTATCCATCTGGCCATGGCCTTAGACATTCAGAGGCAGGAGGGAACTCACAGAACTCACAAAGATGTTTCCCTATCAGGGAGAGAAGTGGGGCACACAGCAGGCTCCAAACCTTTCAATACCAGAGGAGTCTGCATCTTCAGGGAAATTTCCCCACTCCTTTCTCTTTTTCTATGATTGTTTTCTTTCTTCCTCCCTCTCACTTCTTCCCTCTCTCCAGTTTCCTTTCTTTCACCCCCCTTTCAATATTGAGGGTGGAGCCCAGGGCATTCTGGGTGCTAGGCTGAACTCCAGCTGAGCCCTCTTGGAGGAGTTGAGGCACACAGTGTGGGGCGGATGGTGGTGACCACAGTCCCTCTACTTTGGATGCAGCTACTGTGGTGGAGGGAGCCCTCATCTGTGTTTAGATCACGTGTGAGTCTGTAGCATGCAGGTTGGGGACAAATTTTGTGTAGACATTCCACCACTTACAGGCCGGCAGGCATGGGTTTAACATGGTGAGTGTGAGGCAAATGGGGTCTACATGTATGCACACATGTGTTTGTATGTGCAGGGATCCACACATGCACGCTCACATGTGTTTGTAAGTGCAGGAACCTGCACATCCAGGGTCACACGTGCTTCTTCCCAATTACAACTTCCCCTTTGGAGGGAAGGGGAACCCTCAGAAACTCACAAGAAAGCTCACCAATCTGATGTGTGAGAAGTTCATACACAGTTGCTGGGGGAGAGGAGACTCTTTGGTGGAGCCTCCTGGAGGCTGTGCAGGGTGTCCCAGCAAGGCAGCCTTTGTGAGTCAGAGTTGGCACTCACGTAAGTAACTATCTACACTCACATAAGTAATCCCTTGCCCAAACTCCTGTGAGCGGCTCCAATGAAGTCAGATCTCTGACCTGGACTTGGATGGAGTCATTTCTTTGGTCTGTCACTGGGTGCCCTATCTGGGGTAAAGAGATGTTTGGTTTACATCTCCTCAGCAAAAACACACAACTGGGTAACAGGCAGCACAGCAGTATGTCCTGAGAACTGGCTGTGGCCTCCCAGACAGTAGGCAGTGGAGGGGGGGGGAAGCTGACCTTCGACAGCTCCCCGAGCAGCTCCGTGGCCTCTCCCAGCTTCGTCTCTGAGGCAGGACTGGATCTTCTGCATAGCTTGAGCAGAGGGACTCCCTTCTGGCTTCTTTTCTGGGGCTCTCAGGCTCTATAGCCACTTCTGACTGCTGGTGGTCAGAAGGAGCCCCTAAGCCTAGATCCCGGAGGTACTCGCTGCCCTGAAGGGCTCCCATATCCAGGCTGAGGTCTTCTGCGCTCTCGCTGAGGCTTCTTGAAAAGTCATTTTCCTACAGGTTGGGAAAAGAGGCTGTTGGTCAAGGGGTAACAGAGGTGAGGTCTCCCGGACTCAAGACCCTATTCCTCAGCACAAAGATGGGCTTATCTTCCTCTTGTCCTATGGGAACTCATTTCTCCAGTGGTATGCTGTGGCGGTTTGAATAAGAATGGTTTCCAACCTTGCTTTGGTACAGTATTTCCTCCCTATGCCCCTTTCCTCCTTGTGGAATGGTAATGTATATTCTGTGTCATTGCATGTTGGAAGTATGTGAACTGCTTTTTGGTTTTGATTTTACAGTGGATTACATGTAAGAGATTGCCCTGAGTCTCAGCAGAGATTGGACTTTTAAACAGTGTTGAGACTGTGAGAGACTATGGGGACTTCTGAAGCTGGACTATACATATCAGCCTATGAGGAGTGGCTCATGGTGGTTTGAATAAGAATGGCCCCATAGGCTCATATATTTGAATGCTTAGTCACCCAGGAGTGGCACTAGTTGAAAGGATTAAAAGGACTAGGAGGTGTGGCCTTGTAATAGCATGCCACTGGGAAGAGCTTTGAGGTTTCAGATAAGCTCAGAATCTCTCTGCCTATAGAGTGTGCTTGCCACATGATGAAAACGGACTAAATTAATGAAACTGTAAACCAGCCCCCAATTAGATGTTTCTTTTATGAGTTGCCATAGTCATGTGTCTCTTCACAGCAATAGTACAGTGGCTAAGATATATGCCTAGCTGGGGGTTCAAGGCTTTTACATCATTTCTCCAAAAGTCTTCTTAGCCAGAACCACACACCCCTTCACTGTATGCATGGGCCACGTTTCCCTTGTGCGTGTGTCTGTGTGTGTCCCTGTATGTGGAGGTAGAGTGCACATGTGTATGTGCATGTAAAGGGCAGAGGTCAACCCTGGGCGGCCTTCCTCGGGGCCTTAGTTTCATTTCCTGCTACTGGAATACAATTCCCTGTCTAAATCAACTTCAGGGAGAAAGGATATTTTTGGCTCATAGTTCCGGATTACAGGGAAAGGTGCCACCCACAGTCAGATGAGTTTTCTCTTTTCAGGAAATATAAACTCTGTAAGCCCCTCAGAGATGCCCACAGGCTAACCCAGTGTAGACAACCCTTTATGAAGACTGTTCCTACATGCTCTACACTGTGGCAATTAGACAATCAAAAATAATCATCCCCTTGGTTTTTGAGACAAGGTCTGTCTTAAAACATACCCGCTTGCCCATACTGGTTAGTCTGTGAGACTTGCCTGTCTTCCCTCAACAGTGGGATTACACCTGCTACTCCTCCAGGCTGATCCAGTTTTGTTTGTTTATTGGCTTTTGTTTTTTTGAGATAGGGTTTCTCTGTGTAACAGAGCCCTGGCTGTCCTCGAACTCACTCTGTAGAGTCCTGGAACTTGCTTTGTAGACCAGGCTGTCCTGCAACTTGTTTAGTAGACTAGGCTGGCCTCGAGCTCACAGAGCTCCATCTGCCTCCTCGCAAGTGCTGGAGCTAAAGGTGTGTGCACCATCGCCACCCGACCAGGCTGTACTGTTTTACGCAGGGCCCTGGTATTGAACTCAGGTCCTCATTTTGCATAACAAGTGCTTTACAAAATGAGCCACTTCCCCAGCCCAGACTATATTTTGTTTATTTGTCTTTTGGCTCTTGTGGGTGGTTGCCAAGAACAGGCTCATACAGATATCTGCTTACAATCTGCTTTCCATGTTTTTAGACAGGGCTTTGCTGGATTCCTCTGGTTAATGAGAAACTCACTAGCCTCAGACTGTGAACCTCCTGCCTTGGTGACACCTGCCTGGGACAACAGCCATGCAGTTCCCCAGCTGGCTCTACTTTCAATTATTTTCTCATTATTTTTTACTTTTTTTTTTTTTTTTTTTTTTTTTTTTTTTTTTTTTTTTNNNNTTTTTGAGACAGGGTTTCTCAGTTCTCCTGGAACTCACTCTGTAGACCAGTCTGGCCTCGAACTCACAGAGATCTGCCTGCCTCTGACTCCTGAGTGTTGGGATTAAAGGTGTGAGCCACCACTGCCCGGCCTATTTTTTTATATTTATTTATTTGTTTATTGTGTGTGCTTCTACATCTGAGGGCAGCTTGTAGGAGTCTGCTTTCTCCTTCTGCCGTGTGAGTCCTGGGACTGGTCATCAGGGGTTGGAGACAAGCTTCCCTACCTATTTGAGCCATCTTTCTGGCCCTCCTTTTGGTTCTTTTTATACATATACCCAGAAGCAGTATTGCTACCTCTTAAAGTAGTTCTCTGTTTAAGTTTTATGAAGGTGAGGGATTGGGGATTGAATCCAGGGACTAGGCAAATACTCTAGCACTGAGTTATATACCTACATACCTAGCCGTGTGTGTGTGTGTGTGTGTGTGTGTGTGTGTGCGCGCGTGCACACACACATATGCTCACCTGTACATGTGTACATGCACATGTTTGGGTGTCTTGTCTATCACTCTCCACCTTATTTTTGGTGACACAGTGTCTGTCACTGAACTAGAGCTCATGGTTTGGGCTAGGCTGATTGGTCACTACGCCCTGTGATCGCCCTGTTTCTACCTCCACCCCAAGTGCTGGAGTTTTAGACATACTCCATCATGCTTAGCTTTTTATGTAGATGCTGTGGATCTGAACTCAGGCCCTCATGTTTGCATAGCAAGTACTTTAAAAACTGAGCCATCGCCCCAGCCGATCCCTCCCCCCTGTCCTTAAATACCCTCTCTGATTTTCAGTCAGTCTCTTTCTAAATGACCACAGTATAGTTGTGGCTGGACCAGAGCGACCTTGCCCTTGGCTGCAGTCTCTTTTCGGATCGCACCCATCCCCTAGGTTGCTCTATTGCTGTTCCCGAAGCCTGGACAGCCTCGTGTGGACTCCTGTCTCTTTCACCATTGCTTCCCCACAAGGTTTCCTTGTATCTCTGCTTTTCATCTTCCCATAAATATAAACACGTCAGGGTGGACTCTGGGCTGGTGCTGGGCTCCCTCCTTTTCCAGTGTCTGGCCTCTCTCATCCCAGGCAGCAGTGGGAGACAGGCCAGAGCTTGGGAGGAGGGTTCTGGGAATCTAAAGCACAGTCTGTCCCAGCTTTGAGCCAGCAGGCACACTGGAAGAAGGGAAAGCCCTACCCCTCCTTTGCCTGGAAGCTGGAACACTTTTTCAGACTCATTTCCCTGGGTGAGAAAAGATGGGAGCCTGTCCACTGGGGGCTTTCCCAGAGACCTAATTAAACACTGTGTTCCAGGCCTGACACCCTGCAGGAGGATCTAGGAAATTTCTGCTCCTGCTCCCCAGACCCAGGGAGCCTTGGATTGTGTCCCCTCACCGCCCACCCCCCGCCCCAACACACTAAATTTCTGCTCAGTCTAAAGTAGAGGCAAAAGCATCCCAAACTTCCCTTGGGCTACCACGTGCAGACCCAGTGTACAAAGAAACACTTTATTTTTGCACTGCTGTGGGTTGAAACCCAAGGCCTTGAGCAGGTTAGGCAAGTCCTCCAACTGAGCCACACCTTCAGTCCCTCGTAGGGAACAGGCAACACTGAACTACTCAAACAATATAGTCTACTCTTCACTGGGTAACCGGTAGGCAGTCCTCCTACCTCTGAGCCACACCTCCAATTCTTGGGTGTTTTTTGAAGCACAGACTAGCTTGAAACGTGAGATTCTCCTGTCTCTGTTTCCCAAACCATACATAGGCTTTTAGTTTTAAAAGGTAACTAGTTACTTGTTTCATTAGCTTTTAGAAAGAGATGGCTCACCCAAACAACTTCAACCATACAGTGTCTCTGTTCCTGTTTTGCCACTTAACAAAGTGTCTGAATTTCAACAAACAGCAAATAATACTGGAGATTCTTAATCTGCAAACCCAAAGTCTGAAGGCTCCAAAAAAAGTTGAGCCCTGACATGCTAAAGCAAGTGGAAAATCCCACATGTGACAGGTCACAACCAAAAGGCAGTGATGGGAACCAGAAATATGGTTCCACAGGTTAAAGCGTTTCCTGCATAGCCGGATAACCTGAGTTCAGTCCCAGAAAACCACAATGCTGAGACACTGGAACAAAATAAAGAAAAAAATACCATTAAAAAATGAAAACCAAAATAAAACATAGGCTGCAGAGGTGCAGTTAAAAGCAAGCATTGCTGTTGCAGAGGTCCTGAGTTCTGTGCTGCTGGAACACCACTATACCCAATGCACAATAGCCTGGGACTCCAACTCCAGGTGATCTGCTGCCCTCTGTTGGCCTCTGTAGCTACTGCACTCATGTGCACAAACCTCCACACATACAGGCTTAATTTAAAAGTACCCCTCCCCCTGACAAATGCAGAGACACAAAGTAGCAGAAGAAGTACATTCAGGCCATGTATATTAACTATACATGAGATATCAATGAATCCAAGGTTTAGATGGGCTTTCATCCCTAAATTATTTTATTAGGTATACACAAATATTCCCAACCTGGAAAAGTCCATAATCAGGGCTGGAGAGTCAGCCCCATTGGTAAAATGCTCTCTCAACAAGCATGAGAACATGAGTTTGATTCTCAACATCCATATAAAAATAAAAAATTCTATAACTTCATCAACTGGAAGCAGAGACAAAAGTCTAGACAGCCATCAAGACTCCCAAATCCACAAGCTTCAGGTTCAGTGACAGATCCTGTCTCAAAAACTAAGATAGAGAACAATTAAGGAATATACTCAATGTTGACCTCTGGTACAGTGGTTTGAATTGGAATGGCTCTCCACAGACTCATGTGTTTGACTCTTTGGCCTATAGAGAGTGCATTATTAGGAGGTGTGGCCTTGTTTCAGGAAGTGTGTCACTGGGGGTGGAGTTTGAGGTCTCATATATGCTTACGCTATGCCCAGTATGGGACAGTTCACTTCTGCCATCATAAGGATCAAGATGTAGGATGCTCAGCTCCTTCTCCAGCACAATGTCTGCCTGCATGTCACCATGATGATAATGGGCTGAACCTCTGAAACTGTGAACCACCCC